TGGGCGGCGCGGCGCTCGCGCCACACCTGGACGACGCGGTGCGCGCGCTGCGCAGCACGCTGCTGGACCCTTTCGCTGCCGTCCGCCGGGAGAGCTGCGAGTGTGCGGCCGCCCTGGCGCGCGCCACGCCGGGTAAGCCCCTATGGTCCATGCCTCCCCCCACCCCCCCAAGGTCCCAGGCCCACTTTGGTGGTGAGCTCTCCACTCCTGTCCGTCCTATTCTTAATCTGACGAGCCTGCTACGGTTCAGTCCTTTCTGGTGACTGTGCAATCTCCTTTGGCGACCTCTCCTGGCAAACTCCAACCCAGGCTAGATGAAATCTCCCTGCACATGTTCACCGGTGCCAAGTTCCTCTCCGGAACTCTCACCTGTAGCTCCTGCCCTGATCCCCAGAAAGTGCAGAAATTCTTTTTAATGGGGGTGATTCGGTGACTTTTATGGAAAAGATTATGGAACTGGCTTGGAGACACTGCTCAGAACCTCCACTTTGGCCCTATTCCTCTATTCCAGTACACATATGTGTCTTTGGCTTGGGCCACTGTCATCCTTAAGTGGAAGGAGGCTGCCTTTCTCTTCCCTTTTAGTCCAAACTCCCATCTTTTCAACAGGCCCATCTGATGAGGACGATCCCTTCTGTCTCAGGCTAGGATTGCAGAGTTGCAGGACACTGGTTAGTGTGGAAAGAACGCTTTGTAAAGAAGAAACATTTAAGTTGAAAAATCTATGGCCAAAAGAGAGCCAGCCTTGAAAAACCTGGAAGTCAACCAGAGTCCTGGAGGGAAAGGCTGAGGAAAGAGACAGCAAGGGCTTCCTGATCATCATTGTGGGTTTTTTGTTTTGGGCCAGTTCTGGGACTTGAACTGGGCTTTATGCTCTTGCTTGGCTTTTTCCACTCAAGGTTGGCTCTCTGCCACTTGAGCTAGCCCTCCACTTTGCTGGTTAATTGGAGATAAGAATCTCACAGGCTTTTCTGCTGTGACTGGCTTCAAACTGCAGTCTTAAGATCTCAGCCTCATGAGTAGTGAGAGTTACAGTGCCCAGTTGGGGGTTTTTGTTTATGTTGAATGGCCAGAAGAAGATGGCCCTGTGGTGGTGGCTGCAGAGCTGGGCTGGGGTGAGGCTCACAGAGGATGCCCTGGTAACCAGTGGCCTTCCAATCCTGCAGACCACTTCCACATGCAGTCGGAATCTCTGATTGGCCCCCTGATGCAGACCATCTCCCACCAGCACTGGAAGGTCCGGGTGGCTGTCATTGAAGCCACAGGGACCGTGATCCAGTTTGGCAACGGGAAGTCTGTGGATGATATTCTTTCCCACTTTGCTCAGCGGCTCTTTGATGACGTCACTCAGGTAACAGGCTTTCCCTGCCAGACAGTAGGTCCCATTTGCAGCAGCAACCTGCTGATTGTCTAGTTCTTTTCTCTTCTCAAAGGTGTCATGTGTACCACATTCCCTTTCACCAAGTATAAGGGTGTTCCTGTCTCCTATCTTGAGAAACTAGGGGAAATTGGATTGGCTCTGTGAGGGGGTGGTACTGGCACTTGAACTCAAGGCCTTGTGCTCTCACTTGACTTTTTCATTCTATCACTTGAGCCAGTCTTCAGTCCAGCATTTTACTGGTTAATTGGAGATAAGAGTTTCATAGATTTTACTGCCTGGGCTGGCTTTGAGCCACGATTCTCAGATTTTAGCTTCCTGAGTAACTAGGATTACAGGCATGATTCCAGCACCCTTCAAAATAAGTTGTTTTAACTTTAGCATCTTCCCAGGGAATATAGAGCAGGATTATTCCTCTAACTATTGTCCATCCAAAGTGATTTTTTGGGGGGAAGGGGGTAGAGGTCTGGTTTAGGGCTTGAACTCATGGCCTGGGCACTGCCCCTGAGCTTCTTTTGCTCAAGACTAGCATTCTACCAGTTGAGCCACAGCACCACTTCTGCCTTTTTCTGCTTATATGGTACTGAGGAATGGAACCCAGGGCTTCATGCGTGCTAGGCAAGCACTCTACTACAAAGCCACATTCCCAGCCCTCCCTGAGCTTTTTTGCTCTAGATTAGCACTCTACTACTTTGAGCCACAGCTTCACTTCCAGTTTTTAGGTAACTAATTGGAGATAAGAGTTTCACAGACTTTACTGCCCATGCTGGTTTTAAACTGCGATCCTCAGATCTCAGTCTCCTGAGTAGCTAGGATTACAGATAGATCAGCACCTGGCTTCTTGCTCTTTTTGATGATTGATCAGTTCCCAATGAGACACCCAAAGTTGGCACTTGTCTGTGCTGTATACCAGGTTTAGGTGTCTGTGCAGGTTACCAGCTTCATTCACTTTACACTGTTCTTAAATCCATGCTGGCTATGGGATTAAGAAGTGTGTATTTTTACCACATCAAAACACTGGTCAGATGTTGTTTATGCCCTGAAGCTCCTACTAGCTGGCTGTAAACTTGGCCACCTTATAAATGAGAGCTTACCTCACACCAGGAACCTCTACCCTAACAACTTACCTACATCTTTCTCATGACTCAAGATCTTATAACATGTAGTGTTTGGCATCTGTTTTGTGTCATTTGTGTGTTTTCCATATTTACCCACATTGTGGTGTGTGTCAATGCTTTGTTCCTTTTCATGGCTGAGTAGTATTTTGCTGTGAGCATTCACCACATTGTGTTCATTTGTAGATGGCCACTTGTTTCCACTTTTGGGCTGTTTTAATTCTGTGTGAGTAAAGCCATGTACCACGTGTCTGTGTCTTTCTATTCTTTGGGGTAAAGCCTAGGAGAGCAATTGCTCAGTCACACCATAGATCCCTAGTCAGTGTGGTCAGGAACTGCCACAAGGTCTTCCATAAAGGCTGTGCCCTTTCACGTTTCTGCCAGCCCCTCCATACCATAGTCCTGCTAAGATTACAGTCATCTTAGTGCATGGCTTCCTTTGCCTAATGATAAATGGCATGCTCATTGCCACACAGCTTATCATGTGTAACATTGGCCTTTCCCCCTCACTTTTCCTCAGAATTTACATGATGTAGCATTCAGTGTGTAACTCACAGTACAGTTTGTGTACCATTGACATGTGCACAGGCAACTCAAGGGACCTAGAGGCTGAGAACTGGCTCTTAGCTTCTGTCCTGAGGCAGGCAGGCAGGACAGCTGGAGGGAGGAGGCCTATGTAGGTCCACAGGCAGAGCAGGCTGTACCCTCTGGGAAGGAAGCTCCATTTCACCCAAGGGCTGGGCTTCAGTGAAGCTATGTTCCAGGGGCCTTGGTGCACCCTTTTAGTCTCGGGCCATCTGTGTAGATCCTCCAACAGTGGCATGGGGGGCAGAGGTGCTGGGTCAGCACCTCCAGTAAAGAAGACTTGGGCTGCAGAGTGAAGTCCTGGAAGCAAAGCTGAGAACCCCCTTCCAGTAGGAAAGGGAGTTTCCTCTGTCAGAGCTAAACCATTGCTCACAATATGCCATAACTGTGCATGTGAGCTATGTGAATGGTGTGACTGTAAACAGTGTAGCTGGGTGTAGCTAGCTAGCTGTAGTTACTGTAATTGTATCTAGAGTACCTTTGTCAGTAGCTGTCTGGAAGTCAGGCTGTGTGTCCATAGCTTGCTTTACATTATCAGCAATAAGAGTTAGCTCAGATGGTGCAACCCTCAGCCCCATGTCCACCAAGGGTGAGGTTGGTGTGGCTCCCAGTCTGGTGGCTGTTACCCTGACCATTTAGTATGAGGGGTTACCTACTCTTTCAAATCTTTGCATGTTATCATTAATAACGCCTTCCTGTTAACCCGTGATAAGTTATAACAATACTTTTTAAATAGTTGAAGACTCATAGGAGGTTCCGTGGCCCTGTGCCTGTGGCTGCCTGCCCTGGGTTCTAGTATGTGGGTAGGAGCAAAAGGGATAAAGCACTACTAGGCTCTGGCTGTGTTACTAGTATTAGGCTTAGTACTCCCTTCTCCCTAACACATTTGTTCTTCTCAGGAGCTCAGTGACCTGCCCTCTTTCTTATTTTGTAGATGGTTTAAGTTTCAGGGAGGTCGGCACTGGCCGGGGCCCCAGGCTAGCAGAGTGGGGTTGGGGAGTTATTGGTTTCTGTGTCCTGTTGGAGCTGGGGGCAAGGAGAGTGGGAGTGGCAGCAGAGCAGTTCTACCCTGAATGCATGTGAATGAATGTTGAATGGAGACTGGGCACACTGGTGGCTCACTCCTATAATCCTAAACTACTTAGAAGGCTGGATATGAGATCAAGGTTTGAAATCATTCCCCATAGAAAAGGCTGTGGAACTCTTACCTCCAGTTAACCAGGAAAAAGCTGGAAATGGAGTGTGGCTCAAGTGGTAGAATGCCAGCCATGAGCAAAAAAACCAAGGGAGAACAATCAGGTACTGTGTTCAAGCTCCAGTACTGGCGTAAGAGAGGGTGGGGAGGAGAGAGGGGAGATACTGAGTGGATGCTGCTGATGACCAAGTGTTACTAATGGAAGAAGAGCCCCCGCACACACACACACACACACACACACACTCCAGCAAGGGCACTGTACAGGGTGGCCCCTGCCTCGTCTGAGTAGACTTCCTCATTGTAGAACTTACTCCCCGGGGTTAGGCTGGGATGACATTGTCTGAGCCCCTTTCTGTGCTGGCTTCTTCCAGGTCTCACCATGCTTTCCTCTCCAGGATGTGTTCCCAAGGTGTGAGTCAGGCACCTAGGTGTGGGTGTGGGCTTTTCCCTTGTTGGGTGAGGCCTGTATACAAGCTCTTCCCTCGGCCAGCTGTAGCACTGTGGGCCCTGTGGCTTCCCCTTGGGGCTTGGTGACCAGTGGCTATGCCATTGATTGTCACTGCAGCATCTCAAATGCCCAGGGTTGGACAGGGCCCAGCCTGGCTTGGAGATGTTGACAAGGTAGATGGCACACGGGCCACATGGCCCAAGCACCTTGGGTCCATAGAGACTAGGCAGAGTATGGAGGATGGGTGTGGGGGCTGCAGTGCCCTGGGACCTTGGGCTTGATGGCCTAGGATCCCTGAGGATTCATTTGTTTTGGGGCTACCATCCCTTCTCTGGCCATTTACTGAGTTTCTTTTCTTTGCCTCAGGTCCGGCAGGCAGTGACATCTGTGGTAGGGGGCTGGCTCCTAAGTCTGCGGGACCGCTACTCCTTCTTTCACAAGCTCATCCCACTGCTGCTGAGCAGCTTTAGTGATGAGATGCCCGAAGTCCGGTAGGTGGTGTCTTCTCCTGGGGACACACAAGGCACACCTTTGCTCTGTGCTTCACTGGGAGCCAGGTAGGTGGGTGACCAAGGCCACTACTTACAGCAGTTCTGTTTCAGCTTCAGGATGTCTTGTAGAAGCTGAGACTAGGGCACACAGATGGGCTCTGGTTTCTAAGACAGTTTGCATTTCTTATATTCTTGGGCCCCTGGTTAGACAATTGTGTGGTCAGTTCGTGGTCAGAACGTGGGGGTGGGGACTTAAACACCAGGCCCTGATTCCCCCCCCCATACCCCTTATCCCCTAGCTCAGCAGGTGCCATCCTGAGGCCTGCACCCACAGGGCATGGTGTTGGGGGAGGGGCTCCACACAATGCACCAGCTTCATTGCTGGCCTTTTCCTGCTGTTGCTAAAGGCAGTCGGCTGCCACCCTGTGGGAGAAGGTCGGGCTGCAGTGGCAGAAGGAGAATGAGGAAGACCTGAAGGATAAGCTGGACTTTGCCTCACCACCCCCAACCCACTACCCCCCACAAGGTGAGTGCTGCATGGCGGAGGGAAGGACTGGGAGGAAAGTTTGTACTTACTGGGGAAGGAGCTCCTGATCCTGAGGAAGCCTCTGGCTCTGAGTGCCTGACCAGGTCAGGACAGCTCCTGTGTCTGAAGACAGCAGGAACCCAGTTTGAGGTCCCAGAGAGAAGGCACCTTCTCCCACTGGGCTACATTTCCCTTCTTCCTAGTGTCGTGTGCTTCCTGGGCAGGTATAGACCTCTGTCCCTAGAATCTTCTGGGGCCCTGGGAAGCTTCCAGAAGCATCCTTAGAGCAAGTATAGGGATATGTTAAGCTGGCTTCTAGGAAGTGTTGGCGAAAGGTTCAGACATGGAGGGATGAGAATTTTGTCCTTTCAGCAAAAAGTAGCTGAACCCTGAGCATGTAGGTTCTAGACAAAATGAAGTCCCTGAACTTCCCATAGCCAGTATCCCATCTGCCTGGGCCTGGCCTGAGTCATGTATGGGCCGGCATTACTAGCCTGCTGGGCTGGATCCACACTGTGTCCCTGAGGAAGGCCCACTTCTCTGCCACCATGGCCTGGCCCCCCTCTGGCTTTCACTTGCTCTCATGTAGCATGTCTGGTAACTACAGCATTTCATACTTCAGAGACAGGAAGTAATGACTGTAACAAAAAGCAGGCAGGGCCGGTGGGGCCATGAAGGTGCTGGCCCTTTGAGGTCCACACTGCCCTTCCCTCTGACCAGCGTCTTTCTGCTCAGGCAGCTTTGCCCACACTGTGAAACTAGTACAAAAGGAAATCCTGTTTTGGAATAGGTACAAACCTGTGTTGGCAGCAGATACTGATTTAGTTTGAGAACACACTGTCCTTTTTAAATGTAGAACTAAGATGTAAAAGGAAGCATATGTGTCTATTTTGAAAGTACCAAAAATGCAGTAGGATGCTGAAGCTTTTCTCACCCCCCTCTGTTAGCACCGCCTGCCTTCACTGTGGATCTCAGCTGGGCTCTGGGCATCGATCAGTGGTGGTTCTTCACAGTTGTAAGGCCAGCCATTTACTTACTGAGCGGTTTCTCGGTCCACAGGAGTCCAGCAGTGCTGACTGGAATAAGCTGGCTTTGTGGGGAGGGAGTTCCTGTCCTTGCTGGTAGACACTAGGTCACCTCAGCAGATCTGCTGCAGAGCTATGGTGACTGAATCAGAACAGAGGGAGGCTCTTGCACTCACAGACATTGTGCACATACATGTGCTTACACAGCATGCATGTATGTGCACATACATGGCCCCTGTGCACTCATTCACACACCTGCCCTATGCACCTGCCTCTGGCAAGGGTCCCCACCCCCTCCTGCAACAGAGGCTTCAGGTTCTCTGTTTTGGAGTGAGGCTGAGGCCACAGAATATTTCTGACTCGTAGTCACTGAAGTCTGGTTTCTTCAACATTCTGGGGCTTACAGTGTAGTTATTCTCAGAATTTTTGTTTGAACTAGAGCAGAATAAATTTAGAATTTAATTACAGTAATTAGTAACATAGCCACTAGATTTCATTAAATTTTTGGTATTTTTCCTCTAAAGTTACTTAAGTGTGTAGAAGAGAATTTTAAATGCAATTTCTCAGAGTGACTTTTGTAGTATCTCAAGTGTCAGGCCACATCCATCTTTTGTTCTGACTCCATCTTCGTCTTGCTGCCGGCAGCCCTGGGCCCTGGGCTGTCTTCCCCAGGTGGCCATGTCACAGCTGCCTTTCAGTAATGATGTACTTTACATCTCTATAAAGTGTGCTCTGTGCCTATGAGCTTCAGCCAGCACCACCTCAGAAACTAAGATGGAGGCAGGTTGGGAGGTCATGCCGTCCCTGACATCTGGGTTCCTTGGCAGCCACCTCTTCTCAGCTTTTTTGGTGTTTGGGAGAAGCCACGCCCTGGTAGCTTGCACACACTGCCGCTCCAGAGGGTCGGCCACTGGTAGCCAACACCAGCCAGAGATGCTGGACTGTTGCTGGTTCTAGGTGGTTGGAGGTAGAGCAGGTGTGGGAGTGTCTTGTCCTCTTGGTAGATGTTGTAGAATTGTACATGTCACTTTCTAAGCTGGCCACACTGTTTATCAAACTAGCTGCACTCTTTCATGTCTGCCCTCAGCAGAGGGTCTCAGTTGCCCTGTTCTTGGTATCTTGGAGGTGCTGGGGTGCAATGGTGTCACTGCACAGACACTTTAATTTGTGGTTCCTCAATGACATGTAACAAGTGGTCTTTCATGCTTGCTTAGTCTTCTTTGGTTAAGTGATGGTGAGGTGTTTGTAGCTCCTATGTTGGGTTGAGGTTGTTTTCTTACTGTGGAGTTTTGAAGACATCTTAGTCACATCAGTGTTCTGTGCATCTTCTCTGGGCACCTGCCTTAGAGCGCCCCATTCCCACCTTAGGCCTGGAGCCTGCCCCTTCTTCTCAGGTCTCCACTTCTGTGTGGCCCTCACAGAAAGCCTTTCCTTGCTGCCACCCTCTTGTCACCCACCTCCTTCCCCACTGAGCCTACCCTGTGTTGATCACCTCTTCCAGAAGGCAGGCCTGTCTCCTGGGCATCCCCCCAGCTGCAACCAGTGCATAGTCTGCAGACCCTCAAATTATGGTGGGTTCCTAGCCTGAGAGCATGACACTGAGTCATATACCTGGTCCCATGCTCACCATGCCCACCACACACAGAGGGTGGGGCCTAGATATGGTTCTCCAGCTCAGGCTTCCCCTGCCCAAGGAAATAAGAAAGACCTTAGAGCATGGGGCTCTGGTTCAACCCCTAGTGCCACCTGAAATAAAAGGAGTAGAAATAGACCCCCGTCCCCCCCCCCACTACAGCCTGCCCTTAGCGTGAAGGCGTCACAATGTCAATTCTCTGTTACAACACCCCCCCTTTAAAACAATGTAAGGGATGGGATGACAGGAAGGACATCATTTATTGTCATTATTCCTTGGACAGAGTGCCCCCTCCATGGGATCACAGGTTCATGCTTCGCTCGTCTGCTCATTGTGCTGCCTGAAGGGTCATGTGGCACACTGGCTTCTGGACTCTTTCTTCCTTTGCGACATCATCCTGTTTCATGTTTCCTCACCAGGCCTACATGCCAGAGGAGAGGTGTCTTCTGCCTGGCAAATGGCTGCCAGGCCTATTTACCAAAAAAGAATCCTGTTATAGAAGTAAGTAGGATTCCCTCTGACCTGTCTCACCATGATAGTGATTGGCATGCAGTGCCTCTCTCTGTGTGGCTGTGTCCTGTCTGCTCTGCACACTTGCACTTCAGCTCTCTGTGAAAGGCTGGACTGGTTGCATTGTACAGAGGAGAAATGACTATTCATGGGTTTGCTTGCAGGACGGCAGGTCCCACACAGCCCTGGAGACGAGTGGCCTGAAGGTAAAGTGATCCAGGGGTCACAGTCCTTGCCATGCCACACTCCACATGAGATGTCTCCAATGTTTCTTGGAAGAGCAGCCTGCAGTCATCTCTGTGTTCTCTGCTTTGGCAGCCAGCTAGCACCTTTCCCACACCCAATGTCCTTCCTGAGTGTTTGCAATGGTTTTTAGTACATGGTGCTCAGGCTTGCCACTGGTTGTGGATAAACAAGCTAGAAAGTTCCATGGCCTGTCTGGCTGTCTGCAGTTAAGTTACACTTCGTATAATTGTGCAAGAAAATGATGTCCCATGTGCTCCCAACCCAGATGCCTCAAAACTTTGCTCTGGCGTCCTCCTGATATGCAGGGTAGATCTTGGCAGGTCTCCAGGCTCTTGGTTGCACCAGGGACTGCGAGTGTGTTTGGAGCCCTGCAACACACCATGAGCATGTCTTGTGGTCACTCTGTGTGGCTGTACCCATCTGAACTGCATACCAGGCTTTGGTCTTGGTCTTTTTTTTTTTTAAGTATCCAATTTCACCTCCTGGGAAGAGTTATGTCCATACTATACTGGGAAGGAAGAATGAGGGTGGTCACTGAGCCAGAGCAGAGGCTGCACATGCATCCCACAGCTGCTTGCTGGGCTGTGCATTTGGAGGTTATGGTAGTTGTTGTGAGCTGAGCCCTCACCAATTGCCCTTGGGTCTTATGATGCCATCCTGCTGGCCAACAAGGGCTTTAGAGTCTAGAGCAAGCCACCAGCAGATGGGGGAAAGCTCCCACTTTGTAGGGACCCACCTAAGACTGAGCCCAGAGCCCTCACCTTGGCCCTCAGCCCAGAAACTACAAACTTTGAGCCTAAACTCTCCCACCCTCACCTCCTTTTCTCCCATGTGTGTCCTGTTGTCTGTCCTGCTGTCTGCATTCCCTCCTGTCTAACCGTAGAATATTTACACTCCTCACCTCTACTGGTGGCTTTTGGCAGAGTTAGATAATTACCTTCAATTATGTTCCAACTATGAAGATAAAGTAGCTTTGCAAATATTTGCATCTCTTTTTAAGGTTAATAAATAAGTCTTTTAATTCTAGTTGTCCGTTTGTGTTCTGCTGGAAGCTGGACCCACATGCCCTGGTCAGTCGGGGGTGGGGCGCCAGTCATTTAAGTAGTCTGTTCAAGCTTTTTGCTGGCTGAAGTACTGCAATTATGTTTTCAAAGAGAAGATGAATAGATGGTGGCCGAACTTCCCGGGACCCTGACCTGGCAGATCTGGACTCTGGACTTGGGTTAATGATTTCTTCAGACTGTACTGTTTACCTGTGCAGACTTGCAGCCTGACAGAGCTGTGGCCTCCAGCAAGCTCATAAATCAAAACACAAATAATCAAATCTGGGAAGGAATTTGGATGTGAAGGATCTGAAGCCCTCACATACTACTGGTCGGGGGCAAATGGTGGGCTGCTTTGCAGAACAGCGGCAGTTTCTTAGCATGGTGCCTGCCATACCTCCAGGCCCTCTTCCCCAGCAGTTGAAACCCAAGACATTTTGCTAAGACCCCACAGTGGCGTCTGAATGTGGGCATTGTGTATATGCCAGTGGTTTAAGGGTGCACAGACCACACAAGGAAGGAGACCAGTGTGTGCCCCAACACCTTGTGAGGACTCGTGCAGGAAGCCTGCTCTGTAGATGTTTCTAGAAAAATCCATAGGCACTGGAAGGAAGTTATTGGCCCCCAGGGCACCATGTAGGCATTGGAGGGGGTTCTCAATGGGGCTATGGTAGCTGCATAGCTGTGTGCACCACTCTCCTAGCTGAAGATAAGTGCATCTAGCCACAAAAGGGCACCAGGAACACAGACTGGGGAACCCCACTGTGACTGGGGTCCAGTCCCAATCTGCTTATGCTCACAGTCTGTATGGAGGTCTCCCTATCAGAAGGGAACTGAACCCCATCTGCCCTGTTGCCCTGATTTCTGTGATGTCTCACCAGGAGCCAGGTCTCCTCAAGGGTGCAGGGGCAGTGAGGCCCACTTTTGCTGGAAGGTGCACAAGGAGGCAGATGGCCCGAGGACTGCAGTGTGGAGCCTGAGATGAGGCTGTGGAGGGTAGTCTAGAGCGTCCTTTGCAGAGCCATACCCTTTCCAGGTCCTGGTTCTCCATGACCTTACTTAGTCTTTTGTTCTGTCTCCTTTGTGTATAGCTTCACCTGGAAACCACTTGGAAACATGGAGGAGACCGCTTAGGTTTAATTGTCAAACTAGTAATTTTGGAAATTACCACTTTGGAACTTTCTGGTGTTCGTTGTTGAAATTCACCCTTAGAAGCCAAGCATTGGATTAAGTTTGGAGTGTAGCACATCCTTTGCTTCAAGTAGCAGAGTATAGACAGAAAATGGAATCTGCTCTTTGACCCAGAAATTCTAGGAGTAGGTGTCACTTGTTCTGTCTGGGGTTGCCCTTCTTTTGTGCTGGTCCTGGGTCTTGAACTTGGGTCCTGGATTCAACTGTCCCTGAGCTTTTTCACTCAAGGCTAGTTAGTGCTCTACCACATGAGCCACAATTGGAAGTAAGTCTGACAAACTTGCTAACTTTGCACTGCCATCCTTAAATCTCAGACTCCTGAGTAGCTAAGATTCCAGGTGTGAGCCATCAGCGTCTGGTGTTATGGCTGTTTTTGTTGATGTGTGTGTTTGTTTTCTATGGGACAAGTGTCTTGCTGTTCAGCCCAGGCTCTTCTGGAACTATCTCAGCATTTGGAGTGTTGGGATTTCAGGTGTATGTCACCCCAAATATAAAGCCCTCCCCACAACTGCTCACCTCATATTTTGTTTGTAGACTAAGTTGGTAATACTCAGCACCACCCTCAAGGATGGTAATATCCATAGCCCATGAACCAGGTGATTCCAATTTTAGCATTTATCCAAACTAAGCGATCAGAGATGTATAAAAAGAATTATGTGGCCAGGTGCCAGTGGCTTCCTGTAATTCTAGCTACTCAGAAGGCTGAGATCTGAGGATCACAGTTCAAAGCCAGCCCAGGCAGGAAAGTCCACAAGACTCTTCAATAAACTACTAGAAAACTGGAAGTGGGTCTGTGGCTCAAGTGGTAGAGCGCTTGCCTTGAGCAGGAGAGCTGAGGGACAACGCCCAGGCCCAGAGTTCAGCCCCACTACAAAAAAAAAAAAAAAAAAGATTGATGTAATGAGATACCATTGTAGAGATAATTATTTCTTAAAAGTTGGAAACTACGGGGCTGGGAAGGTGGCTCAGTGGTAGAGCGCTTGCCTTGCATGCCTGAGGCCCAGGGTTCGATTCCTCAGCACCACATAAGCAAAAAGAAAAAAGCCGGAAGTGGCGCTGTGGCTCAAGTGGTAGAACACTAGCCTTGAGCTGAAGAGCTGAGGGACAGCGCCCAGGCCCAGAGTTCAGGCCCCATGACCGGACCCCAAAAAAAAAAAAAAAAGTTGGAAACAACTGGGTCGATTAGTCCTGATCCCTGTCTCCTGGAGATAAACTGCAGTGTGGGCTCCTTTTGGCCCTCAGGGTCAGCTCTGGCCGGGCAGCCATCTGCACAAAGCACCCATATCTGCGCTGCCCTGTGCCACAGCCCCTGGCCACAAGCCTGTCAGCACTTAGATGCAGTCAGCATGACTGAGCTCCGGATTGTTTATCGTGTCTAAAATGCGCTGGCAGCTGCTGTGTCAGAAAGCTCAGTCCAAGAGTAAAGAGGGAGCTGGCAGGCGCTGGAGAGTGTTTCCGCTTTGTAGTCCCAGGAGGGTCCTCCCTTGCAGCATGAAAGCAGCTTAGACGGTAGTAAGTAGATGGACATTGGCTGTGTACTAATAAAACTTTATTTATAAATGGACAGTGGGACAGATTTTTCTTCTGAGCCATAGTGCTGACACCTGTTCTACAGGATTGTTAAAATAAGCATTGGGGCCAAATACATAGTCAGTTTGGGGTTTTTGTTTGTTTTGTTTCCAAAGTTAGGGGTTGAACGAGGCCTGGATACTCTCCCCTACCATTTCACTCAAGGTTAGCACTCTAGCACTTGAGCCACAGCGTTACTTCTGACTTTTGGTCAGTTAATTAGAGATAAAAATCTCACAGACTGGCTGAGCACTGGTGGCTCACCCTATAATCCTAGCTACTCAGGAGGCTGAGATGTGAGGATCTAGGCTCAAAGCTAGCCCGTGCAGGAAAGTTCTTGAGACTCTTATCTCCAATTAACTACTAGAAAACCAGAGGTGGCTCTATAGCTCAAGTGGTAGAGCATTCTCCTTGAGCTGAAGAGCTCAGGGACAGTGCCCAGGCCCAGAATTCAAGCCCCATGACCAAAAAAAAAAAAAAAAAAGAGAGAGAGAGAGAGACTTTATTGTCTGGACTGGCTTCAAATTTTGTTCCTCAGATATCAGTCTTCTGAGTAGCCAGGATTACAGACATGAGCCACTAGCACCCAGCTAGTTCAGTATTTCTTAAGAAAACGCCTCTGTAGGCTCTTCTGTTCCTCATTTCACGAACATGTGTGATAGGTATATCAGGAGTATTTTTATTTAAAATTGTGACAAGCTAGTTAAGCCAGCAGATTGTACATACCTATAATCTGATAGGCAGAAATGATTGGAAAGATCATGGTTCAAGGCCAGCTCAAAAGTTAGCAAGACCCTTTTTAACAGAAAAGGCTGGGGCATGGTGGTGACCACCTATTATCTCAGTTATGCAGAAGGCCATAAGTAGGAGGATTGCAGTCTGAGGCCAGCCCCAGGTAAAAACCTGAGAGATCCTATCTGTAAAATAACTAAAGCAAAAAAGGGATGGGGCATAGCTCCAATGGTAGAGCTCCTACCTAGTAAGCAAGAGACCCTGAATTCAAAACACCAGGGACACATAGACACACATACAGAGATCAGAATTTGAATCACTTGGACTTATTTTGAAATTTTTAAATAGGCCTCAAAATCTTTTTTGGTAGAAATTTACAAAATGGTTCTAAAGTAGAGCTGGAAATGCAAAGGCCCTATGACAGCCAAACCTTGGAAGTGAGCAAATTGAATGCTGCCTGAATTCTGCCTGTCCTTGAGGTTCACCCCCCCCCACACACACACATCGTTCCAGTCAGAGGGCAAGGAAGGTTTCATGGGGAAAGGGCAGGATTTCAGCATCTGTTGGGGTATCATATTTGTGATCCACACCTTACTTGTATGTGCACCCGAGATGTATAAGCTGAGCCATGACCTTGCCTGCGCAAGGCCTTCTTGCATCATCAGAAGACCACTGCACAGAGAAGACTAAATGGAGCTCCACCAAAATTTAAAAAAATCTCTATTCTTACCAAGACATGGTAAGAGAATGAAAAGAAAGGTCAAAGACTGAGAAGATAACAAAGTTATTTATGTTAGAACCTGTATCTAGAGTTCACAAAGATCTCTTAGAACTCAATAATAAGAATCTGTGGTTGGGTTTGTTTTTTTTTTTTTGTTTTTTGTTTTTGGCCATCATGCGGCTTGAACTCTGGCCCTGAGCATTATCCCTGAGCTCTTCAGCTCAAGGCTAGCGCTCTACCACTTGAGCTGGTGGTTAATTGACAATAGAGTCTCATGGACTTTCTTGCCAGGGCTGCCTTTGAACCGCAATCCTCAGATCTCAGCCTCCTGAGTAGCTAGAATTACAGGGGTGCCCAGCAAGAATCTATTTTTTTAATGGGGAAAATATATTTGAAAGACATGTCCCTGAGTAAGGTAATGTGAACAGCAAATGAGCCCAGAAAAGATATTCAGTGTAGTGTTAATATCAGGGAAAGGAAAGGAAACCAGGGGAGAAGCTTGTTGCATTGGCCTATTTGGATGAGCTGGGCAGGGCGGGATTGCCCTCTGCTGGATGGGATGTGAGGTGCAGCCACCTTGAGAGCCAAATAAGTGGGTCTTGCTGCTGACCCATTCCAGCAGGACTGTTTTGGTGGTATTGGGTTTAAACTTGGCCCGTGGAGTTTTCTTGCTCATGGCTGCTGCTCTACCACTGCAGCTATGCCTCTGGCATTTGCTGGTTAATTGAAGGTTTAGAGTCCTATGGACTAATTATTTTTTTTTTGCCAAGGCTGATTTAAAAATTGTGATCATCAAACCTCAGCCTCCTTAATACCTGGGATTACAACTGGCTTTCCTTCTTTTTGCCAGTACTTGTCCCTACCAGATAGCTGCTCTACCACTTGAGCCACACCTTGACCCTTTTTGCTTTTGTTATTTTTTAGGTAGGGTCTTGCCTTAAACTACTATCCTCCCTCCCAGCCCCATCTCACCTTCCTGAATAGCTAGAATTATAGGCATGAGCCACCAAACCTGGTTGACATTGTGATTTTTCAAGCCCTGGGTACTTTCATTATACCTTAAACAACAAGCACCTGAGACTAAGTTTGTGGGTCTCTCTTCCCTCCTAGAGAGCCGCCCTGGGCTGGGCTGTCGGGAGCTGGTCTTCAGGAACCTCTCTAAGGTCCTCCCTGCCATCTGTCATGATATCACCGACTGGGTGGTAGGGACCAGGGTGAAGGCTGCACAACTCCTGCCCGTGCTGCTGTTGCATGCGGAAGACCACATCACCCAGCATTTGGAGATTGTCCTTAGAACCCTGCAACGGGCCTGTGCTGATGAGGAGAAGGCTGTGGTCAGCAGCGTGAGTGCCCCATCCCTGGTCAGGGGACAGGTGCAGGAGCTCAGCCTTCCAGGTGGGAAGGGTTGAGTCATAACCACTGTAGTGAGAATGTGGGCACTATTGTCCTCAGCTCCTAGTGACTACAAAATTGCAGTATATGCAGGGAGAGTCTTCCATGTGTCCCTGGGAGCCCAGCTTCCCCAGCATGGGCATGACCAAAGTGGCCACGCAGCACCCCACAGGCAAGTGGATAGGAGCAGGGAGCCCCATGTTAAACCATGCCCTCCCAGCCACAGCACCACCAGGTCCACCCCACTCCAGGACATAGTCCACACTTGGGAAAAGAGCAGATACTTTTCACTTGAGGTTTAGCTGCCTGTTGGAAGTTGTCTAGATCTGTGTGTGTGTGTGTATGTGTGTGGGCCTGCGTGTGCGTACGTGTGCAAGCCCTGGTGCTAGAAATTGATAGCAGAGCTTTGAAACTCTTGCTTGGTTTTTGCTCAAGGTTACCACTTGAGCACTGCTCAGCTTTTGGGTGGTAAATTGGAGACGAGAATCTTTCTTAGATGTGTCTGCCTGAGCTGGCTTTGAACCTAGATCCTCAGATCTCAGTCTCCTGAGTATCTAGGATTACAGGTATGCACTACCAGTGCCCAGTTTGTACAGGCCTGGCTTTGATTTTTAGATATTTTCTTTTTTCTTTTCTTAATTTTTTTTTTTTTTGGTCGGTCGTGGGGCCTGAACTCTGGGCATGGGCGCTGTTGGTCAGCTCTTCAGCTCAAGGCTAGCGCTCTACCACTTGAGCCACAGCACTACTTCTGGCTTTTTTTTTCTGCTTATGTGGTGCTGAGGAATCAAACCCAGGGTATCATGCATGCAAGGCAAGCACTCTACTACTGAGCCACCTTCCAGTCCCTAGATATTTTCTTGTAAATGTTCTGAATTAGTATATTTCCCACAGAAAAAGTGATGACTTTAGGTTTCAGCATCATTATGGGAAAAATAAGGTAAGCTGGGTGCCAGTGGCTCATGCCAGTAATCCTAGCTATTCAGGAGGCTGAGATCTGAGTTTTGTGGTTCAGAGCCAGCCTGGGCAAGAACGTCCTTGAGACTCTCATCTCCAATTAACCACCAGAAAACCAGAAGTGTGGTCACTGTGGCTCAAGTGGTAGAGCACTAGCCTTGAGCTGAAGAGCTCAGGAACAGCGCACAGGCCCAGAGTTCAAGCCCTATGACCATCAAAAAAAAAAAAAAAAGGTGAGCCAGCAGTGCCCTGTGAGCCAGGTACCACCCACTCGGGTCAGCCCGTCTTGGCTCCAGGGCGTTCCCCCACAGCACTCACCTGCTTCCCTTTTCTGTGATCCACTCTCTGAGGGGGGAGAGTCGTGAATGGAATCAGGCAGTAGTGCCCTCTGGGGTAGGCTGTCTTCATCACTTACAATGTCCAGGTCAGCCCTACTGCTATCTCTGCCTCATCCTCAGGGCTGGGTAGGAGTTAGGAGTTGTGCATGGAGGAGCTGAGTCTAACCACATATCAATAAGAAATCTAGGTCTCAGGTGTCTGTCACATGGAGAGTGTGAAGCAAGAAAGTCATGGGGACATAACCTTCCCCCTCCCCCCAAGCTGGACATGTATCTCAGTCTTCTTCCATGAAGCCTGGGAAACTGGAAAAGCAGGGGGGTGGGGGGTTTGGACCTGTCAGGTGGTTCCTGGCCCTCTTACTCTCCCATGTTTCTCAGTGTACAAGGTCTGCAGAGTTGGTGGGGACATTCGTCAGCCCTGAAGTGTTTCTGAAGCTGATCTTAGCCATGCTGAAGAAGGTGCCCTCCCCCTCTGGCCTCCTAGTCCTGGCTTCAGTCATTCGAGGATGCCCACGAGATGCCCTCCGGCCACATGTCAACATCATCGCCTCGGAACTAGCCCAGGCACACATCTGCCAGGGGTCTGAAAACGTAAGCTGGTACTGCCAACTGGGCCACAGTGGCAGGTAGAGGGCATCCTGGGGTCTGAGACAGGCAAAGCATCTGTCCCTTCCAGCAACTCTGTGGTGTAACTGCCAACAATACGGTGACAGAGCAGCATGTCTGCCCCAGCCCATGGGTCTCATTAGCAATACCCAGGAATGGTCCTGGCATCTTCTGGCTTTTGAGCCTCTGTCTGCCTGCCACTACTGCAGCCACTGGCCTTGGATGGCCATTTAAATGACTAAAAGACTGGCCACAAGTCTAGTGTTCAGTATCCCTGTGTGCCCAGTGGCTGTCTGGTTAGTAGTACGCAAGAGCCGTGTCCCTGTTGATTGCTGAGGGGGGTCCAGCTGGACCATGCTCCTGTGGGTATCATACACTATGGGAGTCCTGGGTCCATAGCAGGGCTCTGAGGGCCTTGCATCCACCTGAGAGGCAAAGGACAAATCTGCCCATCTGTGCTTTATATAGACAGTCTCAATTGTGGACCCGAGCTGCTTCTGTGTAGATAGATGGCTCTTAGCCTCTGAATTCCATGCTTAAAACAACAACCTGCCCACCAACTTGCCAGCCTGGCTTAGTTTTAAATTGAGCAGCAAATCTAGCCTTAATCACATCATAGTTTCCAATGGCTGTTTTGTGGGTGTGTTAGGCTTACCTCTGTGTACTTACACAGCAGACATGCACCCTGGGGAAATGACTCTGCCTCCATGGCCAGCATCCTGCACCAGTCCCCATGAGCTCAGCAGCTACACGGCTTCTGACATTTATCAGCAGCTGCTCTGGTGCCAAGCCTGGCTGGAAAGAGGAAGGGTGGCTGCTCCGGGATCTCTGTCCCACCTTCCTCTGCCTCAAAGTGAGAGGCATAGAGTTGATGATTGTATTTACAGCCAAATCCTTGCTCTTCCCAGGACCTTTGTATTTGTTTTCCCTTTGGTGGTATTGGAGTTTGAACTCAGGGCCTTCTACTTGCTAGGCAGGTGCTCATCCACTTGAGCAACATCCCTTAGCCCTTTTTGGCTTTCCTTATTTTTTGGATTGGGCCTGTCTAGATTGCAATCCTCTTATTTACTCAAGAAGCCAGGATAACAGGCACCCAGCACCTTTCATTTTATTGATTGAAATGAGGTCTCGCAGACCGTTTGCCCATGCTGGCCTTGAACCTCAGTATTTCTTTTTTTGTTTGTTTGTTTTTGGTCAGTCGTGGGGCTTGAACTCTGGGCTTGTGCGCTATCCCTCAGCTCTTCAGCTCAAGGCTAGCGCTCTACCAATTGAGCTACAGCGCCACTTCCGGTTTTCTAGTGGTTTACTGGAGATAGGAGTCTCATGAAGTTTGGTTGCCCTGGCTGTCTTTGAACCTCAATTCTCAGATCTCAGCCTCCTGAGTAGCTAGGATTACAGGTGTGAGCCACCGGTGCCCGGCTCGTACCTCAGTATTTCTGATCTCTGCCTCCAAGTAGCTGGGATTAGAGACATCCACTTGCACACCCTGCCCTAGAACCAATTTTCTTTTCTTTTTTCTTTTTGCCAATTCTAGGGCTTGAACTCAGGGCTGGGGCACTGTTCCTGAGCTTTATTTGCTCAAGGCTAGCACTCTACCACTAGAGCCACAGCACCACTGCTGGCTTTTTCTGTGTATTTGGTACTGAGGAGTCAAACTCAGGGTTTCACACATGCTAGACAAGCACTCTACCACTAGGCCACATTTCCAGCCTCTAGAACCCATTTTCTAACAAGCTACCTGTTCTGGAAAAGCTCTGTATTTTTGATCTTGAGTAGTTCTGATGATAATTATTTTGATTCTGTGAATAGACTTGTAGGCCAGAACATTCTACTTCTAAAAGGGTACAACTTGCAGGTGTGTATGTACAGGTGTTTAAATATATAGTTTACAAACTTAAAATCAGAGGAAACATCATTTTATAATCAATTACTGAGAGATCAGTCTGTTTTTGGTTCCTTCTGGATCATTCAGACAGAGCCTGAGGGTGCATAACCCTCCCCTGCTTGCCTTCCTCTTCCTGGGCCTCTAGCCTCAGGCCATGGAACCAGTCACCTTAAAAACCTTGGGCCGACAGGCTTTGTTATTCCTACCTTGACAGACTTGAATGTTTGGCAAGCAAGGACAAGCATGACACTATCCTGTCAATCATGGCTGTTTCGAGAGCCCAGCACTCTCTGTGTGACAGGGAGGGGGCACACTTTGTATCCTGTCACTTAAGAAATACCTGTGTTTCCTGGGTCTGGTGCTCAGTAGCTCTAAGAACAGGTTCAAAATGTCCTTCTAGAGTGAGCTTAACATTTTTTTAAAATCCTGGATTTAAGCCAGAGTCGGTGCAGACGTGTTCTGTGCATGTGTCTGACACTGCCCTGTGGTTGTCAGGGCTGCTTAGTAAGAAGGGGGCTTCCCCAGGTGTTCGGGGGGCCAGGCGCTGCACCTGGAGCTTAGCTGGAGAGAACTTGATCCTCAGTTGGGGGATGTATGTAGTGACAGGTACCTGGAATGTGAGGACACAACAGCTTATTCATTCTTGTCTGAAGAAAAGCTGAAATATTCAGGGTTGGCATTGGCCTTTACTGAAATAGTAAAGTCCGGAGAGTTTTTGTTCAAGTGAATTAGACTTTCTGCTGGCCATCACACTACCATCTCTTCTTGCTCTGTGTTGGGTCACTGGACAGCTCTGGTTAGCGGAGGCTTCCATAGATACCAGAGTCCTGCGCTTTCCTCAGGTATGGCAGAGGTCAGGCTTCTGGTTGGAGGCCAACCTGGGCAAAATGTTAGTGAGATTCATCTCAGTAAGTAATCCAGGTGTGGTGGTCACAGCTGTTCTCTCAACCACTTAAGAAGTATGGGTAGGAGGATCACAGCCCTGGCCAGCCTGGGCAAAGAGCAACTAAAATGACAGGCACTGTTGGCTCAAACCTATAATTCCTAGCTATTCAGGAGGCTGAGATCTGAGGATCCCAGTTTGAAGCCAGTTCAAGCAGTCAGGTCTGAGACATTTTTATCTCCAATTAGCCAACAAAAAGCTAAAAGTAAAACGAGGGGGTGGAGGAACTAAAGTAAAATGCTAGACCCTGAGCTCAAGCTCTAGTACCAGCATAAAAATAATAGTAATAGGGGCTGGGAAGGTGGCTCAGTGGTAGAGTGCTTGCCTTGCATGCCTGAGGCCCTGGGTTCGATTCCTCAGCACCACATAAGCAAAAAGAAAAAAGCCGGAAGTGGTGCTGTGACTCAAGTGGTAGAGCGCTAGCCTTGAGCTGAAGAGCTGAGGGACAGCACCAAGGCCCAGAGTTCAAGCTCCATGACTGAACCCCCCCCAAAATAATAATAATAGTAATAATAATAACTAAAGAAAAAATGGTTGGAGTTATGGCTTAATGGCCGAATGTCTGCCTAGCAAGCCATAGACCTTGAGTTCCAACTCTAGTGCCACAAGAAAGAAAGGAAAGAGAGAAAGAGAGATGGAAGAAGGGAGGGAGGGGGGAAGGAGGGAAGGAAAAGAAAGAATATCCTTTTTACTGAGATGATGGCTCCTTAGATTTATATCCTAGGTCATTCTAATGTCAGCCAAGACCATGTCCTTAAGTCAGTGGATTCTGGCCAGAAAAGACTGGGCGGGGGGGGGGGGGGGGGGGGGGAGGAAGTGGGAGGAGAGTAAAGACTGGAATAAATGCACCTGCCAATGCTGGGTGGGGGTCACCCTGTGCACAGCCACTCCCTCAGCCCGGCAGCCCCTGCAGCTGGCGGGGAGGGGTCTGGAATCCAAAGCAAACAACTCTGATGCAGTAGGGCCTTTGTTTGAGTCACATGATTTATGTCACTGGTGTGTTGAATCCTGAACTTTAGACCTGGTTCAGAAGTTGAGAACCTTCCGTCTGGCCATATAGTTAACAGAACTCGTTTGAACTAGGCCCCCATTATTAAAGAGTTACAGCATGTCCCTTCAGTCTGGGCTCTTTTTTATTTATAAATTACAGTTGTAAATTACCGCAGTCCACTACCCTGATTCCTTCTGTACTTTATAAAACCTACATGAAGTAGTCAGGTTGAAGGGCATTGTAAGAAGCATGCCAAACTCTGGTGGCTTAGGCCTGTCATCAGGAGGCTGAGAGGGAGAGGATTTCTCTTCAAAGCCAGCCTAGGCACACACAGGAAAACCTTAACCAATAGTTGAATGTGGTGGCATGTGCCAGTTATCGTAGCTATGTGGGAGATCAAGCCCAAAAGTATCTGAGTTCAAGGCCAACCTGGACAGTTCTAAAAGTCCATGAGAATCCTATCTCAACAGAAGGAGCTGGGTACAGTGGTACACATCTGTTGTCCCAGCTATAGCAGGAAGTGTAGAGTAGACAGGTGTGAACACAGGTGTACACCTGGGAAAATGAGATGCTAACTCAAAAATAACCAGTACAAAATAGGGCTGCAGCCGAGCGCCAGTGGCTCACGCCTGTAATCCTAGCTACTCAGGAGGCTGAGATCTGAGGATCACAGTTCAAAGCCAGCCCAGGCAGGAAAGTCCGTGAAACTCTTCTCTCCAATAAACCACCAGAAAACCAGAAATGGTGCTGTAGCTCAAGTGGTAGAGCACTAGCCTTGAGCTGAAGAGCTGAGGGATAGTGCTCAGGCCCAGAGTTCAAGCCCCATGACTGACAAAAAAAAATAATAATAAGGCTGTAGCTGGACTGGTGGCCCCGCCATCCTAGCTATTCTGAAGGGCTGAGATATGAGGATTGAGGTTCAAAACCAGCCTGGGCAGACAAGTCCCCATGAGACTCTTATCTCTAATAAACCACTCAAAAACTGGAAGTGAACCTGTAGCTGAGAGTGGTAGAGTGCTAGCCTTGAGCAAAAGAACTCAGCACAGTGCCCATGCTCTTGAGTTTAAGCCCTACAACTGACAAAAAACCAAAACAACAACAACAAAATAGAGCTGGTGATATAGTTCACCAGTAGAGCACCTGCGTAGCAAGGACAAGGCCCTGAGTTTAAACCCCAATTTCACCAAAAACAAAATAATAAGTATTAGACATAAGCTTTAGGAATTCCTGGGTCCTTGACAGCACATGGCTGCTTCACAGGGGTCCTGCTAACTCCCTGCTGAAGCCAAGAGGGAAGGTGTTTGGCCAGCCCTTCAGCGCTCACATTAGCCAACAAGCTGATGTGATGTGATGTGTGGGGTGGGGGGAGGGTTGTTTTTTGTTTAGTTTTGCTTTGTTTCATCTGTAGTGCTAGGGCAGAATCCAGGCCCTGCCATGTGCTGGGCCAGTTGCCTCTCCCACCGAGCTGCCTCCTCACTGTATTCTTTGAACTGTAGAAATTTACTTTTAAGCTTGATCTTACGGTGTCACTTTTATTTTCTTTTAATTTGAGGGGCAAAGGGAGAGCTCAAGTATCTTAAGGTGAATTTAAGGTCCACTGTCATGTCACTTGGGAAGAATACTCCAGTGTACATAGCAGATAGGAGCTCTGTAAGCAGAACTTTTGAATACTCTGTCAAGGATTCCCCAGTTGCATGTGAGCCCTTACCTCCCAGTTGGTGTTCAGTTTTCATGGTGGACATACTCAAGTCAGGCCTGCCTGACACAGTGTCATGGCTCCTCCACATGTCGCTGTACATGTGGGCCACACATAAAAGGTGCTGGGGTGATCACTGCTGACTGTGCCTGCGCTGTCTTTTCTAGGACCTTTACCTGGAGAACCTGCTGCTCTGTGTTCAGGCTCTGGTGTCTGTGTGTCAGGAGGATTGCAGTGCCGCCAGCCTGCAGCTCCTGGAGGTGCTGGTGACAATCATGGCTGTGTCAGGTGCCACAGGCCTTGGTGACAAGGTAAGGAGATGGAGAGCTTCCTGCCTTTCTCTTTCAGCAGGAAATATCTGCTATAAATCTCCTCTGCACTTGGATTTCAGGCCTGGGGCATGCTGGCTAGCACTAATGAAAGAATTTAGGACACTTGAGATGAGTCAGTCAGGAGGGGCCTTAGAGAGTCGTCCACCACCTGCAGATGTGTCTTGGTGTCTAGAAGTGAGGACTGCTTAATCTTGGTACCTGTCGCAAAGAAGCAGAGATAACAGATCTTCATGACCCTTGAGCCTGACCCCTGGGGTTTTTCCAAGCCCACCTGGTATGCTCTGCCACAGGCTGTCCTTCATTCATTGAGGCCCAGCTTCACCCAGTTATTTCTGTCCCATTGGCTCTGTATTTTTCCTTTAAAATCTCTCAGCCTCTCCCTGGCACCAGTGGCTCACACCTATACTCCTAGCTACTCAGGAGCCTGAGATTTGAGGATCAACGTTCAAAGCCAGTCCAGGCAGAAATGTCAATGAGACTCTTATCTCCAATTAATCAGCAAAAGCCAGGAAGAAGTTGTAGCTTAAGTGGAATAGTCACAGCCTTGAGGGAAAAGGCTAAAGGACAGCATCCAGGGCCTGAGTTCAAACCCCGTGACTGGCACACACACGAATACACACAAATCTCTTTAACATCAGGCTACATGGGCTTCACTGATTCAGGAGGGTGGAGCCTCCCCTCCTGTTCTTGGGCAACACAGGGACTTGGTCCTCTGGGATTTAGTGCCCTGTGGGGTTCCTTCTGAGGAAGCCTGGCCTGGAAGAGGCTGCTGCATCTCTCTCAGGACATCCTTAAAACTCTGGTTTCTGTCTTGGAAAACCGTTTTTGCAAAGGGCTCATTCCTTCGCAGACTGCTCGTCACTGAAATGGCCATTAATACTAGTGGGTGAGGACTGCACTGGTCAGGAAGGAAGCTGAGTTCCATCAAGGACAGAAGACAGGGAGCAGAGGCATGGCTTGGAGGATTTCCTCTGCTGCTTAATTAACCCCTGGAGAGGTGCAGGTGGAGAGGTGACTGGCTAGCTCCCCTGTGTATTTGTCTGTCACTCCTGGTTCCCTGAGTTCCCTCTGGAGCTGTCCAGGGAGGTGTTTACTCACAGAGCAGATGGGACTGAAGAGCTGAGAGGAGGATGAGGGGCTGACGATATGGCTCAATGGCAGAGCACCTACCTAGTAAGCGCAGTGATATGTTCAATGCTTAGTACCACTAAACGAAGGAAAAGGTGGGTGAGGACAGCCTTGGGGAAACAGTTTGTTGTAATTCTTCTGGGTTTGGGTTTGATTTGGCATGTTATGTTTGTGTTTCTGGGCATGGAACCCAGGATCTTTCAGGTGTTACACAAGCAGCCTACCTCCAGCCTAGTTTAGTTATTTTTTATTTTTATTTTTTATTTTTTGTCAGTCATGAAGCTTGGACTCAGGGCCTGGGTGCTGTCTCTGAGCTCTTCTGCTCAAGGCTAGTGCTCTACCACTTTGAACCACAGCACTACTTCTGGTTTTCTGGTGGTTAATTGGAGATGAGTCTCATGGACTTTGCTACCCAGGTTGGCTTCAAACCACAATTCTCAGATCTCAGCCTCCTGTGTAGCTAGGATTACAGGAGTGAGCCACCAGAACCTGGCTAATTCTTTAATTCTGTGCATGGCTGGGGTACCCCTGCTTTCGTGTGGTGTGTCTCCTTGATCTTTCAGAACTCAGGAAAACTGCAGGGGCAGAGTTGTGGAGCAGAGATATTTATGTCTCTCATTGTTTGCTGTGGTGCTGATGCCTCACAGACGGAAGTCACCGTGGGCCAGTCTTCTAGTCCACTCCTGGGCAGTTTCCATTTGCAGTGTTCCCCTTCTGGCTGTTTGCATTTAATCCACTGATGCCTGTGGTGTGACAACCTCTGGGGTTCCCGGCCTGAAAACCTGGAATGGTTCTGACCTTGTGCTTGTGTCTTTCAGGCCCAGAAGACCTTGGATACCCTGGCTGTGGTAGAGAATGTCCCCAGCAGCCAGGACCTGTACCGCAAGCACATGGGCACCCTCCTGGAGCAGCTGACTGCCTCGCAGGGCAACTGGACTCTCCACTCCATTGAGCTGCTGCAGTTCATTGTCATTCTTACTCAGTCAGGTAAGGATCTCTTATCTAGCCTCACTGCATGTGCGCCAACTCCCATCCTAGCATGATGAACGTCACCAGGCCCGTAGTGGACCAACATTCTTTTTGTTTGTTTGTTTTTGGTCCGGTCGTGGGGCCTGAACTCTGGGCCTGGGCGCTGCCTCTCAGCTCTTCAGCTCAAGGCCAGCGCTCTACCACTTGAGCCACAGCGCCACTTCCGGCTTTTTTCTTTTTGCTTATGTGGTGCTAAGGAATCGAACCCAGGGCCTCAGGCATGCAA